CGCGTTTGTTGACTCATTTGATATGAACTTGTCTTTAAGCGATTTAACAAATTGGAAAATGGGGTGAAATCTGCTGATATTGAACTTCTATGAATGCCTTCAAAGAAGTGCGCGGATGTTCGGATGGGACTCTAGACAGGGATTCATTAAGTTTTCACTGTTCTAATTACGCGAAATTACGTTCGCCGATATCATTGCTTATTCAGAACATCACTTCTGATGAATATGATCGATGGCTGCATAGCCGTGCGCAGTTTTCCTCTGAAGATGGTTCGGCCAACGCCAACAGTAGTAGTAAGCGTACGGCTGTTCCAGCACTCAACAACATCGAGGTCGAAGTTGAAGAAGAGAATTCATCAAGTGCAATTCCGTCGATTCTGCAATCGTATTTGATAGCAGTGGATGCCTCATGCACCGACATTACCTCGTTTGTTAATAGTCAACCAGCTGATTATGAGCTGATCGAAGATATTCACCCAAAAACATTCATCACCGAACTTAACGACAGTTGCTTATCATCCTTAGCATCATTTTTGTCATCTGTGCCGTCTTCGTCCTCTTCAACATTGCCAAGCTCTCACTGGATTGGTAGTACGCAAAATTTTCGTGGTTTCTTGATCCTACAAGAAGTTTCATCAGCAGCTGAAAATGGCCACAAATTCATAAGGTAGTTTATACAGAAGCTACTTGATCTGATGATATACGATCATAATGAATCCTACTAAAAGTAACGGTGAAGGAATCCCCAGTGCTGATTCGAGATCTTATTGATATAACGTTGAATTATTATCGAGATTTGTTTTCGTTTCTTAGAGTGATTGCTTACTTGATAAACTTTCAGGTGTATTCTAAATAAAAGGTCAGTGAACGAGAACGATTCTGAAGGTGAGTTTAATAAAGAAGATGAACAAACAGCGAATGCAACGGGAAACGACAGAGTTTCTAGAGTGGATTGGTCGAGTTTCTTACCGTTCAAATGTCTAGCGGAAAGAATTTGCTGCTCACGAGATGAGGCTGATCGTTTGGCATTCGCACGTGCAGTTGAACGTTTCAAGGAACAGTTGCTGGAAAAACAACGAAAAGTTGCTGACTTTGGTACCGAGAATGCAACCGTCTTCGAAAGCTCGCCAGAAAGCATCGCAACAAAATCCTACTCAACAACGGATCGATGTGGGATCTGTGATGAAAGTTGTGGTGGTGATTTCATAGCGCTCGAATGTCAGCATTACTTCTGTCGAAATTGCTGGACACATTATTCGTATCTCAAACTTCAAAATGCCTCAGTTCCGATCAAATGCCTTGTGAGTGATCTCTGCGTGTGTGATTATTCGATGAAGTGTATTTCCCTGATTCTTTTCGTGTTTGTGAAATTCATAGAATTGGTCGGTCACCTTCCGATTAATCTTAACAAATAACGCCACTGGAAAAAGTCACAATGGCAGTTGCATATGTTCCTCGTCTTTCTGACTAAAGACAGAATCGTATCTTGTTGAGTACCGTTATGAAAATTCTGAAAATTCATTCATTCCGATGTCTCAACGTAAGCGCAAGCATAATTTCAGCAATACAATTGTAATGAGTTTCTGCTTCCGAGACATTTACTCACAATGCTTCCGTACGAATTCTCTGATCGCTATGAACAGTTACTGCGGAATATTGAATTGACGCGACTCGAGTGGATATATTGTGATCGATGTGATTCCGTGATACGTGTTCAAGCCAAAATTGATCGTAATGCTCAAAGAAACATGATAGCCGTTTGCGAATGTGGTGCAGCATATTGTGTGAAATGCTCACAACCACAACACATGCCACTTCCATGCGAGGATGCCAGATTCTACTTTAATACCATTCAAATNACACGTTCATTTCAGTTTGCTTCACGTCGAATTTGCACTTGTGTGTTTTAGGAAGTGATTTTCATGTTCGAAGTGAAGATCGCAGTGTTATGGTGAAACAGTGTCCAGATTGTGGTTTGTTCTGTCAGCGAATTGACGGTTGCAACCATATGGAATGTCCGTGTGGCACTGATTTTTGTTATGTATGCGGAGCGCACTACTTCACTGCTGACGATGCATACCATGCGTGCAATAAAGATGAACATGATTTTGTGGTAATCGCAAATTGTCATCAAATTTTTACCACCTCTTTCATCTCATATCAGTTTCATAAGCAATCTTGTAATGATCGATTAAACAAGCAATCGCTAATGCTAATATGAGCACATCGAAAGGACAACAACAAGATCAACTTACGAGAAACGTTCACCAATCAGAATCACCAAACCTTACTTATGATTCAGTTCAGACTCACAGAATTGCTCCACTCTATGCGGCCTAGATAGACTTCTTCGACGATGGCAACGGTTATTATCCGACCGAATCCACTTTTTGGAATTCTAAAAATTGGCATTCCGACTGGACTTCAAAATCGCTCGGTCACAATTCGACCGAACAATTCCGAAAATTGTCGAAACTCTGTAACCACCTGAATTTCAAAAAAAATAGGATAGAAGTTGCAAATTCGGTCTAAATCGGAACGATGCCGAATTCCGATAATTGATCTAACATCGATCAATTACAATGATCAGTGCAGAGTACACTGGCGAATATAAAAGCATAATAGTAGTTTTTGCTATTTATGCGTATTGTGATGTGGACGATTGTTAATGAGATATAATGAATGAGATATAATGATATTAATGAGATATAATGAATTTCAGCGCGTCGATTTACTCGATATCCCTCGTGTTGCGTTCAATAGAGTATCGTTGAACGTCTTCGAAGAGTGCATAAGTTTCAGACAACAACGTCAACATCCCATGCTGCATGCGTTCCGCAGGAATGTTAATCGCATTTTACGATACAATAAAGTTGATGCGTGTCGAATTTTGAAACTTTATTGTGCGGTGAGTGGCATTTCGTGTTCGAAAAACTGTTGCTCTGCATTTTACTTGATGTATGCCACAGAACATAAAAAGCTGATGTGCGACAGAATGAGATATCGACCGATGATTGAACCTGCTCGTGGGTGTAACAGTCTATGAAGTTGGAATATTCAGTGAGTTTTGTGATGATCTTTGTAGGTTTGTGAATCGTTGGAAACTGGTATACTTGGATCGTATTTGATGAGACGTCGACTGAAGCATTTACGCGATGATGAGAGGATGACTTTAACGAAGACATCCATTCGAGTGAGTTCATTGGATGGCGCTCTGAGGCGACTTCGTTTCTGCTTCAGCCAAATCATTGCAAAGTGTGAAGTGCCCACAACGAAAGCAAGTGATCTCATGAGACTAACCGATTTAGTCGAATCAGCACTGAAAAATTATTTGCTGGAAGCTTCTGAACAAGTTCAGGCGTCGTCAGCGTTGATTGATATCAGAAATAAGTTTTAAGTTTTAAAATCCTAATCAAGTGCTTCAGCTCATGGTTAGATAATGGTCCAGCGCTCGTTTCAAAAAAAGGGGAAATCTCGCACTTCCCATGATAATTTCATGCACAGTTGAGCGGTGATCTCTTGAATTGGTGGAATGAATCTAATTGTAATCATGAATCAGCTAGTGATCAACTGGATCATGTTGTATATCCACACATTCATATCCGCTTAAATTGTATTTTATATCTTCAATAGATAGGAATTTTTATTCGAGTATCGGATCGCTTTCATCAAATTGGCAATTATGGGTGATTTTTTGTGTAATTTCAAGCTGTCTGTTCATATTCTGTTCTCCTCCAGTGTGCAACTTTCTTTCTCATCAGGTGTCTTCAGCGACTTTATTTGTGATTTTGTGTTTATTGTTCGTAAAAAGTCGTTTTCCGAATCTTTTCATAAATATGGAATGACATTCAATTGTAGTGTTTTGTGTGTTTGCAACGACATGATACTAACAGATTGAATGGATGCGTTATGCATAATGATGTGCAAGATGGTTGAGTGGAAATTATAAGTTATGGACTTCTACTGAACCCTCTGAGAACATAGAATCCAATTAGAGGAACGTCAAGAAACAAAGCTATCGGAAAATTCATTGATTCTCACGGTATGCATTACGGAAAGTTCCCATGATCAGCATCGAGTAGTTGTTATTTCACATACTCAGCAACTGAAAAAGCGGTGTTAATTCGGACGAATTCACTTGAACTTATTGTCAACAGTATAATCACCATGGAAAACAGCCACGATGATTTCTCACGTCACACTCGAGTGGGAGTCATGCGATATCACATTCATTTATTGAAACGAACTCTTTTATAATGAAAAGCTTCGACAATAGTAACTTGGATTCGGTTTTATCGTGTAACGCGTGTAATAAGGTACGATGTGTATCTTTCTTTAGAATGCAGATTTTTGTCATTGAGAAAGCAGCAAAGAGCTATGAGTGAAGTTCTCATCAGTTCATCACGAATGTGTGAAATTAACGAGTGGAAAATGCGATTCCATTTGGACATCTCAAACAAAATTTCAGTCTGCTACAATATTCGATCACGCGTGAAAGCAGCATAAATTTATTGCTAACATAGAATGGAAATAAATTCTCCTTCGATATGAAATATTTGCGTTTCTGAATAAATAATGATTAAATGGTCGTTTTATAAATGAAGTTTCTGAAGTACTCAGAAAATGCTAAGTAAAATTGCCGAATAATTCATTCATCATGCGTGCATCGTAATGCGAATGCTTCATAAAGAGCTATGAGGAAAATCTCTTTAAGAAATAATGAGGAAAAATCTTAAAGGAAAATCTCTTTCCAATATCATCGCCATTGCCATTCGCATACGTGGTCAGTTCGGGAATTTAGAAACTTTGTGTTAGATTGACCAGGTAGGTTTTACTGTACACTTGAAAATTTGCCGTATTAAAAGGTTTTCCAGCACGTTTTCCAGAAGTCTCTAGCTTTGATCGGCACCGAATTTAACGGAATTTCAGGGCATGCGTTCGAAGGTTTTCAAAATTTCTATGGATCAAAATTTCAAAGGCTCACAGATCAGAGCTTGCCTTCGTAGGACTGTAGTGGTTTATTGTCGTCAGTTGGCCAACTTCAAATATTTGTTGTTTTTTATTTCGATAAATGGAATGTGTATTGTCGGACGCAATTTCAAAATTTTATTGGTCGCAAATGTCTTGGGAGAATATGATTTTAGTGATTTCATTTTGAGAAGTGACACTTGTAAATCATTTGCTGAGTGATAGACTATAACTACGAAAATATACTGCCAAATGAGTGGTGAAGGAATAAATCAAAAATCGCATTTGAAAAGTGCTGACAATGAGTGGACTGTTCTCGTCTTTTTTCGACAGCGCAACAAACATCGTTGGACTGCTGAATAGCAGCTCACCGTATTTCATTAGTTCAAGAACAAATGCATGTGTGAAATGAAATTTTATTTATTCATCAATCAAACGCAACAAAATGAATTGTTGATGCTCAACTTCAAATTTCATCAACGATATTCTCTTGGTACTTCTTTGTCGATAATGACACAATTGTTGTCGAACTGACGCTTTCATTCGAAGAACAAATTCATTTGAAGACTTTTTTTCAATGCGTCAGCTCGAATGACGAATGCAATTGATCAGTGCTGATGAAAAATGAAAACTGTTCATGCAAAAATGGCAATTTTCTCCTGAATTTTTCCACTAAAACTAACAACTTAACATGCTCTTTCTCATGCCCTTTCTTGGTTACAACTCAGCTTTACATCAGTCGATCTCAACAGCATGCAACAACGATGACAGACATTCTGTATTATAAGCATAAACATGTCACCAACTAGCAATTATTTAATACCTCTTTATGTTCACCAATTATTCATTCTTTTGGTGCCCTCCCCGGATGCTTTCAGTTGATCACGAATGATTCTTCATGTATGCTTGCCTTAAGCTCACAACATCGAACGGACTAACAAGGTAGTGACTGAATTAGTTAGTGAGGACGCCCCATCGCTTGCTCAGGCATGCTGTTCATTTTCGTAATTCAATACCCTATGGCTCGTTTTTGTTTCGTTCTCAACTCAACAAATTAGTTTCCGTAGCAGACAGTTGCCGTTTATTATGCGTACATATAAAATTTCAATCGAATATATTCTTCTGATCGAAACTTATTCTGTGCTATTTGTTAAATTTTTTGTTTTGAATTTTTCGATTGTTTGTGGATTAGTTAAATATTCAAGTATCAAAGCGATTTTCTTTGCAAACTTGAACGTGATTCAGCAAATTAAACAGTGAATGCTATTAGTCACATGCATAAATTTTGCCGTTTCATCATGAGCTTAGTAAGTACTCAATAGGCAGCAGATGAAGATAACCTGCTATGGTCACTCAGCCACTCAGGATCCAGTCTTTTTCTTACTCGAGTTCGATCTCTTCCGAAGAAAAGCATAACTTCCGACGAAAATCTATTTAAAGAAATCCAATTTTCTCTGGGCAAAATGCATTGTCTGCTTCCAGATCGGGGCTTGGCCTAGTATATTCATTAGTTTACATGGAATTTAATCAACATCAATCGAAGCACGTTAGGACAATATCGTTTGTATGATGTGCTTCAAGCACTAACTTTTGAGCAGCCAACATTTCTTTTAAACTCATGAGTTCTGTGAATACTTATTTCTCTGAATACTTGTTCAGAGATCTAGATTTAAATCGTTTCGATAAAACTTGCTTTTTTATGCGAAAATTGCACTACTTGACTACTAGTGGAAAAATTGTGCAAGATATCTATTTCACAATCTTCTTCCAGACCAATTAGAATATGCTTCCAAATCAAGACTAAGTTCCATCACTGTGACTGCTTGAAGGTTGACACAATAAATATTTCAAAAGCATACTCGTGCTACTTGTACCACTCGAACACGAACCGAATAATGAATTCGCCGATATAATTTTGAAAACAGAGTTCTGCTGAACGAATTGTTGCGCAATTTTTGACGCCTTATGAAACGAAGGCGTTTGCGGCACTGAACTGCGTTACATTTCGCTGCAATGATCCGTAGTGCAACGAAACCGTCCGTTTGAATTGCATGTCGAAAAATGAAACCGCAGTTAATTCATCCACCTACGTGCGTAAATGGCTGAGATCGTCGCCAATCACACTAATGAGTTTTCTATGTAAGCATCGCCGTCATCATAATCATGGAATTGCTTCATTGTGTTCATTCACTCGAAATCTTCCTATGTTCTCCATTGTCAACGCATAAAGTGTCACAATATCACGCACGTACTAGATCAGATTAGTTTAATAGGTTTAAGCTTCGAATCTGCGCGACTTCCTCAAACAGAATTGCGATGAAATGGCCGCAGCTGTCGACCAAATTGAATTTGTGTCAAATGTTTTATCCAGAAATTGCACTATGAATCCATGATTTCAGGCTCTTCGATTGTCAGAAATAATGATCTATTATTCATTGTAATCTCACTTACTCTTGGCGTCGTTGAACTATCAGATTCCTGGGACATTTTGGAATACTTCAAACTTTTTCAGTGACAATAGATGATATCATTCTAGTTGACTAGATCGCTCTTAACGAGAGCTGTTCGTGTTAAACGGCAGTTTCACCTTCTCAAAACTAACGCTGATGTTTACACTTAGGACCAAAACAGCAAAGAAAACGTAATCTCCTCGTAAGATGAAAGATTTTTTCCAGTTGTCCCACAATTTCTGTATATCATGGAAAAAACTTGCTTATGGTTTTGCGATGAAATGCTTCTGAGTAATTGTTTTGGATGAATTCGTATATTGACCAACAACTGAATAGTGATCATTGCGATAATGCTGAAATCATATTTCGTTTTCGCTCGCTGAATTTTGTCGAATAATTGTTAACCACCTCAACTGCTGCAACGGAAGTGACGGTAAACGAATTTGTGTCTTCAACTGGAACAGTTAAAGATTCTGTTTGGCATCGGCCGAGCCAATTTGCGCACTTCAACTTATACTTCGCCAAGCTTCCGTCGTAATCCACTTCCTTGCTTAATACGTTGTCGATTAGTGGCTAACGGTTTCCACCATTCGCTTCCAGTTTGCCGAGTGACGAAATTTTTAGCAGTTCTGATGACCCTTTCTGAAGTGATCGTTGATTCTCGATGCAGTCAAACTATTATGTTGTTGTTTTCTTGACAGTTTTCCACTATTTGCTAGGTCATCTATGTTTTGTTGATTGCTTGAAACAAATGCTAAAAACAATTCTAAAATTCAACACACTACTCGAATCTTATCGCCTCTTCACCTTGGACAGCACTTACATACTCGCTATTAGCAGTAGTCGCCTATGAAACTTCAATCATATTTTCATCATTGTCAAATAAACATTGTGTTTGCCTACCTAAGCAATCTTATCACCGCTTTTTTTACATTTATTCTTTCGAATCTAGTTGATATTACCAGTTGGCTCGAATGTATTACCATATCAGACAACAAAAGCGTCGAAAAAAATGCTTCCTGGAAAACAACATGTCTTTGGGTTTGTTGTCATTGAGACGAAATCCTATGGAACAATTAAAATAATTGGTTTTCATGTATAATTTAACTACTGCATTGCAGCTTGTGAATTCTTTTTCATTATATGAGAACAATTGAGTGCTGTCAGCCATCAAAAGGTCATTCAGAGAAATCGCCTTTGATTTAGCAAAAGTGATGACGCTTTATTGCATAGTTGCTAGGCAATTTGAATCTCAAACGGACGGAAAATTTGCGTGCCGTATTCAATTTCAAGAGCATAATTGTTTTTGAGCACAAAGTTCGTTGATAAGTGGATGGAATTTTTTCTCGTCAACCCTATGTGGAATGTCAAAACCAACTATGTGCAGCCTCAATTCCATGTCGCTCTCTCATTTTAGGTGTCTCCACGCGAGTCTGCCATTTTGCTTCATGATTGATTTCTCAAATACTCCGTTCTTACAATTAGCAATAAATTGCTTGATGAAAACTCGTTCCACAGTCTTAAAGCAATTTTGATACTAACCAACTGATAGTCTCAAAGGAGAAACTTACGATTAGCGTGTAAAAACTAATATGTTCCTTTGTAACGAAATTCCAAATACGAATTGTTCAGTCTTCTTTCGTACAAAAAATTCCAATTGGTGATATCGCATTAAAGATGTCCTGAATGAGCTGGAGTACTAATCTGTACTGCTATCGCTCTTAATTACGAGCCAAGAATATGCATTCGCGTAAGTGTGTGCGAGAGTAGAATAAGTAGAACAAGGCAAAACATTGGATATTTGATGCCTATTCTTTTCCACGAATACGTGATCAAGCGAAATGATATCATGAACATATTTCTCGAAAAGAAAAGTAATTGACACGATTCGATGATTCAAAAAAAAAATTGAATCGCTTGAATGCCTGATTAGTCATGTTACTCACTTCATATCATTGGCCTATTTTTTTCATCGACAGTATCGTTTATGTTCGAACAATTGTTCGTATCCTGTTTCCATTTCCCAAATACTTTGGGTACACTTTACTATTCATTGAGCAGCTCTCTTATTCATTTGGCCATTATTCCATTTTCGTATTTTCGTTTCCCGGAACCCTATCGTTTCGTCCATTTATTTGCTCGTTTGCAATTGGCAGCAAGCATTTAGAGAAGCAGTTGAGCTTCGTAGCATTCAGCTATACATTGTGTTTCAGTTTATCGTGAAGAGTTTGACGCTTTCATTACCGTTTTTTCTTGGTTGTTGTCAATCACTTGTGATGCTTCATCAGTTAAGTCGTCGAATTCGTCAAATGAAAAATTCCATTAAAACATTTTTTGGTCTTCTGATATTTTTGCTCGAAACACAGAAGTTTATTCCCAGCTCACGCCCAAGAGACACTGAGAGGTGCGTAATATTACTTGTTTGTCTCAAATGTGCCATCGTCAGCAAAATCATTTTGAGTGATTCGAAGAGATGTTCCTGAAGATGGCTTAGTGCCGAAACGTTGGACATCACCGTAATATTTCTAATGGCCCAAGTAATAATTTGTCAACAACACGGCCTTACTGCTTCGATTCACGTGAACTTTATAAATGGTTAAAGTATTCTCCATTCTAACGGCATTATTCCGAGTTTGTTTTTCACAGAGTCATCATTAACGATTTAGGCATCTACTCATTACTTTGTTGTCATATTCTTAAGAAATCGTCACGTGCTCAGATGCTGTCAAACGTTCTGCGTTCTAATGATATTATCAATAGCTTTGTTTCATATGCTCATCATTACTCTTTCATGCTTTTAATCTTTTATTACGTCATTGAGAGATGGCAGCATTACATTACTTGTCCTAATTGAGCTGATTAACCATGGTTTGCCTACTCAGAATGAGCGTACTCAAAAGCAAATTGGAATTTACTGGCTTGTTCCCTTTCCTGATAGTCAAGGATATCTAGAAATGGTTTTCGTCCCGATTTCTTTATTGAATCAGCTAACTAACATTGCTCACCACCGAAGGCTCCTTCAGTCTGACACATTCCTTAATATGAATGCAGGAAATGGTTAAGTGGCAAATTATTTGCTTGAACCATTTTCATTGAACCATTTCTGANGCAAACTGAGGCATTTTCTAAGATATTTTTCGATGATATAAAATCACCATTTCAAATTGATATTTTGTGACGGTTTTTGATCAAGCCAAGCGAACAAACTCATTTACAATGCTTATGAACTCTGTGGGCGCATGACTTATTTCTCGATCCAGTTATGTTAACAACAGTACTTTTGTTGCACTAGTATTGTGAAGCAAAGAATGCATACGTTACTTTCTCAGAATCTTATTACGCTATCAGACTCAATCCTGTAACTACACCCAGAGACTCATTACGCAACACTGAAGCCTCATCTATTGACAGTAAGCTGCGTCAGTAGAGTCGTATATAAAGCAGCTGACACAGATAACAATCAAGCAATTGTTCTGCAGTGTTCGGTATTCAATTCATCATATAATCTGTATGAGAACGATTGTTGTTTTGCCAAAAACAGAGTTCGAATATTTCAAGTCGCCCATTCAGAATGATCGACAGAAGTCAACAACAAGAAAGTTCCACGAAAAAATTATCATATCATTCATTCATCTGTTTATCCGTTCCCCATCCATAGATGATATTAACCGTTGTTACTTAGCAGTTGAACAAGCAAAACTGCTCAATAATAATGAGCAAAATTAGGCGAAAGGAAGAAAAAACGACATTGAATATATGACATTGATATGAATATGTAAAATGACATTGAATATGTGTCACATTTCGTAACCATTAACGTCGAGTTCACTTCTCCAGATTATCTCTGGTTATGCCGCACAAGATGTTAACGAGAAATACTTGTTTGTATGTGGGTGAAAGATGCTTATATTTGTATGCGGCGATTAGCTGACACATATTTAGTGTCATTTTGTTTTATTAGAGGATATTGCCTTCCTAGTGATTATACGATAGGTTGCGCGCATGATCTCAAAGCCGTCGGTTCGCTGCTTGTTGCTGTCATTTGTGATTGCTTGTCAACTCACAAGAAGCGCTTCGTAAGAAACATTCGATCGTTTCAATTGCGTCTAGAAGCCATCTCATTTGCAGTAAGAGCAATGAAAATGATGGAAACAATTTTGGAGGCGAATCTAATGGATCGAATCGAAATGTCCTATAATCTGATTTGTTTCTTACTTGGAGTACCCGTTAGTTTTATTCTATATCGCATATTCCACTTTTCTTATTCAGTGCAATGAAATTTAATCACTCAGACGATTCGTCCATTCATGACATCAGTCATCACCATCAAGAATTTCTCTAATGAGATCTTTAACTTACCACGGAAAATCTGATCTATCTGTTTGCCAATTATAGTTATCAAGAAAGAGAACTCATAGTCAGAAATGAACTGTCGAAATCAAGGTGTTTGAACGATAATATTTTATTTGCATTAGTGAAACGATTACTTTCTATCGATCTTGCGTTCTTTGATAAGAATTTTCCTTTCAAAATCTCATGAAATTGCAAATGCTCAGCTTTTGTTTGCCATTGGAGCATATCTACACGGTCTCCTTTGCAGATAAATTTGATAACACTCAGGTGGCTTCTCGGACGGGAACGTGGATCGTCTTCAGTGTTACATGTCCACTTGAATATATCGGATCTGTTGGTGCTCTTCTGCTATTGTTTTGCACGTTTCTGTTGGTTAGTCACCTACGAATGGAAAGCTGGTCAGATGGTTGGTGTTCTGATTGTCTCTATTCACCAAATGATCATCAAATGAATTAGATCAACCGAAAAGTGTCTATATCAAGGAATCTGTGAAATGACCATTCTTCTCCCAGGCCAGTGGTTCTCATTGGGGTGAAAGTACCGCTTTTGGGTAATTTGAGGGTCACATAGAGGGTAACGGAAGGGGTCGAGAAATTAGCATTTCGTGCAGTTATTATGTTATGATAGTA